TGTATTAATTTTAGTTAGTTGGTTATGTATTTTTTAAATAAAAAAAAAAATTTTGAATTTACTTACTTGTAGCCGGAATTAGAGGCGGTCGGATACTTATGACTGCTACTGTAGAAAGAAAGGAGGCTGAGAATTTAGAATGAAAATGATGCAAATTTCTATACACTGAGAAAAATGGAGTATTTCATATTTGGAAGTTAAAAAAATTAGAACTAGATAATCTATGAAACAATAATAAAATTAACCTACTCAATCAAATAATATGAAAAATGTTATATAAAATATTATTTACAGTAGTTTTGTATGGTAGTTGTTAGTTTAAAAAGTATATCTCAGTTCAATCAAAAATCTGGAGAGGATATATAGAAAAATTCGAATATAACTATAATGAAGTCTTAAATGATTTTATTTTGTACATTAAATATCCCAATGCACTTTTTTACTAAGCCTAGCGTCACTAGGAAAAATAAATAACTTTACATAATTGAAATAGCATATATTACAGGTTTCAATTTTCTACTAGCCAACAAATTCGCACAATACTATCAATATGTTCTGGCTTGTTTTTATTTGTATTGGAACTCACCTTGAGATCTCCAAATTATTGGCATTCTAATCATTCAATGCATCTAACCGCAGCTTAACTATGATTGTTAGGAACTTTATCCATCTGAATTATCTGTACAATTAAACCTTACTGAAAAGCTTTCAATTTTAGAAACAAGAAATTTAATCAACCTAATATCCATCCTTAAGCTTTTATACAAATATAATCTTGCATTTCCCTGAATTGTATAATGATTGCAAAAAGAAAAAGACTAATTTCGTAAATACATATTCGACAACAAAATATTAATCGGCAAATTCATTAGACGTAATTTCATTTAACATTTTAAATGGTCATGAGGTTTTGATCATAGTACTGTGCCGATTTTCATGACAACTTTGCAACTTTATCGTTTAAAAATATTTTCATTTTATATAATTTAGCTTTTTTTTATTATTCTATTATTTAACATAAAAAGGCATAATTTAGTATTATTTAAAAAATTAAAAAGACATGTAATTTGACCTTGAGTCGATAGGATTTTCCAAAAAGTTTTTGGATAAGTCTTGGGATTAACTTATAGCTCTAGATTTTAATAAAGATACTATTTTAAATTTTAAACTTCTTCATGCCTTTAAGTCAAAAGAAATATATCTTTGATGTGTGAATGAAACACAAATAATTCAAAAAACAACACTTTTAAAGAACTTAAAAGAACAAAAATATTTTCCCGAAACCAAGTCATGTATAAATTTATGTGTAAAACTTGATATTATCGTTAATGTTATAAGACTTCATGTTGAAATTATATTGTAATAGACAGGACACCATTTGTAATAAACATTTAAATAACAGAATACTTTTACAAAATAAATAAAAAAATTTAAAAAATATAAATCTAATTGAAATAAAAGAAATTTCTATAAAATTCTCTCAACTCTAAATTTAGGGCTAACCAAACTTCATAATCCTTCTCATTGTTAAAATATTCAAAAATTTTCAATGCTCTAACCCTAATAAAATATTTCCCGTTGGAAGTTGAATAAGTCCATCCAAATAAAATCTCCTTTTTCTCCTGCGATGTATCTTGGAAAAGGAAAATACCTTTTACCAAAAGATAATGACATCATCAAATATCTCAGTAAAAACCGCTCGTGTCAGAGTTGCAAAATTCAGATGTATAAATGGATAATCATGTAATCCACTAATAATATTAAGAAGTTTAAAGGTGAATTTTAATTGAATCCTTCTTTGTGATATATTTCTTCGAATCAGAAAGTGCAGAAAATTTGGGTGTCTGAAATAACGGAAGCGATCTTGCATTATCGGCTAACCCAGCTAGGGATGTTAATGGTCACGATCATAACTATGACCGATATCGGTCGATAACAGGCTTCTGACTGACCACAACCGACCGTTACCATCCCTAAATCCAGCTATACATATATAAAATGTTGTAAGGAATTATTAATGGATAGTAATAGATAATAAATAAAATACAAAATTGATGAGGAATTTATTTACCATAGGGAACGGTCAATTTAGGCTTGTTCTCATTTAAAGGAATTATCTCTAACCAGCCACTATAAAAATAGTGTTTATACTTTGGTAGATCTTTTATGTAGCTGTACAAGTTGCCAAACTTCTTGGAGCAATAATTTATTGCTACATGAGTCACCAGAAAGTTACAATAATTTTATATTGAAAAAAGCATTACAATTACGGCGTTGACGTTTTTCAATTTCGAGTATTAAATGGCTTTTACTTATATAATCTAATGTGATTTCTACTTTATGATATTCTCCACTCCTCCCAAAAAAACAAATTTTTGTATTGCATGAAATGGAAAACTTAATGTGATAGGGTTGCATGTGGTAATTTGAAAAGCTACTAATTGTAGAAAATTAAAACTTGTTAAAATATTTTTGAGCTTATAAAGGTATATTTGAAAGTGTATTGTAAATGAATGAATTTATTTATTTCAATACTTTTATTTAAATTATATGCGTTTAATATTCTACAAGGATTATCTCTGTCAAAGTATACTTAAAGAATTCCTTCAAAATAGTAAGCAAAATGCGTTGAATTTCTTGAATATAATACACATTTTTCATTCTTAAAAAAAAAGCTGATGACGCTGGAGCTTTTCAGTTTCATGTTATTATCGACGGACGTTCGCATCCCACTAATTCTCTGATTTGCAACGAAATGATGGCCTGGAAAGGCCCTGCTATTATGATATACAATAATGCAATTTTCAAGATAAACGATTTTGATTCGCTTATGCAGATACGTGTTAGTAGAAAACAAGGCGATGATACAATAATTGAGAAACATAAGTTAGGTTTAATCCTGTGTTACTACTTTACCAATGTTCTGAGTTTTATAAGTAATTCTATTGCGTTCTTGAATCCTCATGAGAAGTTCTTGACAAGAAGACATGGTAAAATTCAATAAGGAATTATTGGACCTATTCCTAAAAATGGTATTGGCGGACATTCTGAAAAGGATCAATTGGTTTCTTATGAAAGTATGTAAGTTATTGATTTCCATTTGACATTTCGAGAAACACTTTCGAATACCACTTCAGAAACAACCTAGTGATATATTCACATCACATTTCTGGTATTTCATAATCATATCATTCACTTAAAGGACATAATGCTTTTAATATTCTTCTATATTCTTCAAAGTTTACATTACTATAGCCTACAGAAACTAGCTTATATTAGGTTCTACTATCTAAATCCATAATAGTATTTTAGTAGATTATAACAGATTATAACGATTTTAAAGTATTTCATCAATTTTAGCAATTTCACGATTTTTTATCGATTTATAGTGATTTATAATAGTTTATAATAACTATATTATAATAAAATATCGGATTTATTTTTATTCGATTGTTCAAATAAAACAGATTTATAATTTTTGATTCAGTTAAATTAGACTCTGGACCACTATAAACAGTACAGTACTTTCGACTAAAATTTGTATCGAATAAAATCTCTCTAAATCTTTACCAGTTCCTCAATAGTTTTAGAAGAGTTTCAGAAGCTGGCGAGTTTCTATAAATCACGAGATAGTCAGCCAATCAGACTAAAAAAGAAACATCATACTATAATTCATAGCGCAGTATTTATTTTTTTCTAATTGCTGAAACTAATAACACCACGAAATTTATATAGTTATACTCATGACTATTTTTGTAAAATAATATGTAAGAATAGAGAGCAGAATGCACCATTTATTTATTTGATAGGTGTATATAAGTTAAATAATAAATAATAAGCATATACGCTATTTTTATTTATAGAAGCATAACCATACATATCTTGAATATATTAAAATATGAAAAAACTTTGACAAGTGTGAACAGGCAATCACATATGAGTAAATTTAGCTTATTTGAAATCTGAAAAAACTTTTAAAACTTTAGCTGATACATAGTTAATATTCTTTACGCCTAACCTCAAAATAGTCAACACTGAAAAAGACTTAATGCAATTTATCTTATCTACCCCTCTAACCCCATTAAAAAGTTTAAAGATCTTTATTGCCTTTTCCTTCCTTTTTCTAAGATTAGTCTCTGAAATTTTATCCTAGTCTGAAAAGAATTCACAAATTTTATCATTAACTAGAGAATTGGACGTATCACCACTATACATTTTTTTATAATAATCAAACTATAACCTATACCCTTTCTCAAAATAGTAATAATCATAAATCAGTTGTAAAACAGTTTTTTAATTATCACCTTTAGCTTTGATGATTCGGTTATTAATTCACAAAAATTAACTGAGTTAACATCCATTTTGAGGAACATTTGCAAAGAAATAGTACTATCAGAAGAAATTTGTTGTGGAATAAGAGCAGATAATTCCTTAATTAACTTTTTTAAGATAGGTGAATCTCCTCTTCTAATCAATTTCTTAGCCTTCTTCTTAGGCAGTTTTTTGATTGATGAATGTGAAGCAAGGCTTGTGATTTAGCATCTTCGCTAGTCCATTTCTTATTGCTAGAGGATGTAAAGTTTTGATTATCAGATTGGATTTCTAATTCTTCTTCATTGACCTCTTCATTCACTTCCATTTCTTGAACTGGCCTCTCCTCTTCTTGGATTACTGGTGATTCCATCTGAAGTTGATTGTTCATTCTCCTAATTATTGATGAAATACTTGATTGAAACGATACAGAAAATCTCTGTTTAGTAACCATAGGCTTAGCATTCGCAATACAATTATTGATAGAGCAGTTATTTTGTTGAGTAAGTAAAAAATTTTCTCAATACATTCTCTATGAAAAACATGATCATAGCTAAGTATCGTGAACGTTTTGATAGAAAGTATTAGGATCTCATTATTACACTCTGAACATAGTTCCAACTTTGAAACTTCCATATCTCTAACTGATTCATCCTTGAGATTTTTTAAGATGTTATAAGTAAGATTATTAAGACTGTTTAAAGACATGATCAAATATAAAACATATGCGAAATATTATTATCATATTCAGTATTTTTATAAAAAACAATTCTCTGCAATTAATGCTACGATCATCATAAAATATGAAAATCTTAATATCCAATAATTTGTCGATCCTAATTCTCAAAAAATAACGCATTACTCTCAAACGATCAGCAAAATGTAGCATATAGGGATAAGTCATTATTAGTTAAGAGATCATATGCAGTGTTAAAATTCTTTTATTTGCGAAATATTAAAATAAAAAATTTTAGGAAGAAAAGCAGGTATATAATGACATTTCTATGCTAGTGGTTGGAAATTAAATACATTTTTTATTTTTGTATAACATGACTATATCTTAAGGATAGAAAACGATGCAAGAGCTGGAATTCAGAAATAATTTTACTTCACTTGAATGATACCCCTGTCTTTTATTAACCTCACCACTACATCTAGATTTTGTATTTTTCAGAACGGAAGTCCACGATATTGCATACATGAAACTTTATTTGAGGAATTTAAATTTCTTAGAATTTTTTCTTTCAGTAGGATTCTGCAAATATTTGAATCACAATCTGAATGATCCTATCAAAATGAAGATTATTCAAGTCTTTCTCGCAACTTAAATTCAGGAGTAGAGTGCTTCTAGTCAAATCAGATTCAAAATCATATTTTTCAGTGAATATCAAGGATCAAGATTAGTACATATAAAATACCAAAAAAATGGTAAGTATCATATATAAAGCATCAATGTCATTTTTTGAAATTAAATTAAGCAATAGTAGAATATATCTTATTTTTATTTTTGCAAGAAATGTTCAATTATTCGGTTGATGGGATTAATAATAGATGTAATAGATGTAAAGATGATTAGCTTCATTTGAGCTTTTCGTTTGATTTAAGCAGAGCAAATAAAAGGTTCAATTAAAAACTTACCTTCTTTTTATATGATTTATAGCGATCCAAGAATCGAATTTTTTATTCATTGAAATAATGTAAATATCGCATCAATAGATTTACTCAAAATTATAATACCATATGCAGTACAAGAAAACCCAGCAAGTTATTAATAATATAATAAAGGCCTTTAGTATATGCGAAAAAGTTCAAGAAAAAAGGCTAAGCTTCAGCTATAATACGGATGATTTTATAGATCAACATGAGAAGTTTTCTCACCTTACATGTTACAAACTGTAATGATCAAGTCAATATAAAAATCTTGAAAATTAACAGGTACTGTAAAGCTGAAAAAATTGGTAATCGACATGAGCTGAAAGGTAAATCTCGATTAATTGATTAACTACGATCTTACTATATAAAAGATTAATTTGCAAAAATATATTTGATTTAATATGCCGTTTTGGCATTGTTTATTACTTAACAAGGTATAAAAAATGAATTCTTACATTCTGATTCACTTACTTATAATAAATCAAAACATAAAAAAATGTACAATAAAATATACAAATAAAACAAATGAATGCCCATATTATAAGCTACGAAAAATACTTTTACCCATCATTTTTTAATAAATTTTTCTATTCTGGCTTACTTACTAGACGAACTGTTTTGAGCAGTTACCTATCTCTCAGCAGTCCAACAATTATTCCTTCTACTCATTTTACACTTTTTCATAGACTTTCTTTTTCTTCTTTGGTTGCAGATTTTGAGAGATTTATATTATATTCTATGCCATTCTATGGCTAATATATAGATACAAGAATTAGTAACACATATGATAACCTTGACCAAACTTCTTAAGATTAATACTACCTGTTGAAATTATTCCATATAAATAGTCGTAATCATCTTCCTCAAATGCTTGATCAGCACTCCATTTTTTTTGTTTATATAATAGGCTTCTTTAAGTTATTTAATATTTTGCAGGATTCTATTTTCACATTACGTGATTTTCTCTCAAGAATAAAAATGAGAGTTTTTAATGTTTTTATTGTATAATCTACTCGTCCTGATGATTTTTCTCTAGAAACATCCTTTTGTAATACTAAATAGATTTCTTCTTTACCTGTGAACTTTCTAATGATAACTATTGATGTATATAAAATACACAAAATAAATTCACATTGTGTTGCTTCGTTTACATCGATCATAGTCTCTACATTATTTAGAGCTAGTATAATATGCTCTATACAGTGATTGAACAATTCATCACCATCATCAATTTCTTCAAAGACTTACAAAGAAAAAAATGGGTTATTAAATCTTAGACTTGCCTGAATCTGCATCTGAAAAACTAACTTGCCTGGATTAAATTGTTTAATATTAGTAATATCTTCACTATTAATCTTGTATTTTATTAGGATTACTTTTAATTCTTCTATGATTTTATAGGTCGAAAAACCTCTTAATTTTTGCTTTTTTATTTTCTCAATAAATTTTACAAGTCTTATTGCTGGTCTTATAGGTATTCCCAAATCTCAAAAACGTTTTTTGGTAAATTCAAGAAAGTTAAAACTGGCAATTTCCTATTCACGCAATATCTTAAAATGCAACTCCTTAAGTTTTAAGTCCTTCCTTTACAAATAATCGATAAGTTCCTCAGTGTCATAATTCTTAATTACATCTCCCATGGTATAGGTAATCATTTTTTCATTTGATGATATACTTGAGAGTATAGAAGGTTCTGAAGACATAGTTTTATACTTTCTATTTTATATCCAAAAATTTCTTGAAAAGAAAATGAAAAATCAGAGAAAATCATTTAACAATAGATATTATTGTATAAAATTTGTCGCACAACTCAAACAACATGTGAAAAAATTAGCAATAAAATTAAAATTTTCCAAATGTAGTATTGCGCATTTATTCATGAGTTTCTATAAATCACGAGATGATCAGTCCTTTTGGCATTGTACTAAAAAACACTAGGCTTTACAATACTATATATAAAAAAGTGCAGAATTCAGGTATCATGTAACCAAAAAATCTTACTCATACTTCTAACTTGCAAAGCACCTTCTGGCCTAATCTGATTAAATTTATTTTCTAAAAATTAATTAACATGGTTATTTATAAATAACAGGAACGTATGTACTATTACACATTGGTTAAAAAGTATAAATTTTATTAGGTGAGCATTTTCATTATTTTTACTATAGAACGATAACTACATATTGTCAACGGAAGAAATTGCAACTCCAAATATCATGTGGAATATGTCAATCAATAATGATCTCACGTTAGATGATGTCATTGCTGTGCTAAACAGTGATCAGCAGTAATTTCTGTTTCTTCTATTACGTCTGTTCTCTTTGTATTTCCTATACAATCTGTTTATCCTGTTTATTCTGTTTCATCCATAATTTCTTTAATGTCTGTAATTTATTTTATTTCTTTTTATTATTTTTATTATTTTATTATATTTAAGTATATTTTTATTAGAATATATATATCTATATTTAGTTAATTTATAGCGTAGCAAAGTAGTTAGCCATAGCAAATTCATTTTGTATAAATAGAATAGCTTTTTGCTTAAGTTGTAAATTAATTCAGTTGTAAGTTTATAAACTCTTCTGTGAGTTTCAAATTATAAATAAAGGAATCAATTTAAATCTACACAAACTACTTTTCCCTTCAACATTGTCTCTCATCTAGGATTGTTGTAATATACTATACTAACTTGCTATTGAGTTCGTCATTATGAGTTCGAATAACATATCTTAAATTCTAAAACGTGATAAATTGCCAAGTTGATTCAAGTATAATGGATACCTGTAGGACTTAGAGAAAATCCTAAAGTCAAAAACTCTAACATGTGGAATCAGCTGCCGCAGCCTTTCAACTTAGACGTTAAAATAAACGAAAATGAACTCAGTGACAATATGTATAGAAAATATTAAAACAAAACTTTGGCAACTGTAAACATAGGTTCACACTTGAGTAAAATTTAGCGCAGTATACACCTCCTCTCATTGGTTAGTTTTCAAAATTTTAGCTATTACATATTACGCTTAGCTTTAAAATAGATGATGAGGAAAAATCTGCATATGAAAAATAATACAAAAGTTTAGAAGCTATATCATATGATAATCATGAAGACTCTTCACACTTTTGACCAATAGAAGCAGAATTTATAGGAGACTTCAAGCGAAATTAATATAAATTAGTTATAAAAGTCTGATTTGCTGTAACGGATTTAAAATACAAATATCTTGATAACTTATAGTCCGATTTTGATGAGGATTGGACAATTGAATTCAGCAGTTTCTAAACTTTCATTAAGCCAAAATTGTGAAAATCTGATACTGGATACGCAGCAATTCAGAAATTAGTAAAGCTGATTATTTTGGATATAATCACAAAATAAACTTGAAGAGGCCACATCGCCATAATAGCGTGAGAAGTGATGATGACCTAGCAACTTACAAAATACTAGTTTTGATTCTGGAAACCTAAAGGAGGTAAGAAATTGATAGGTTGTTATGCAAGAATTCATAGTTACCCAGTGAGCTCTAAAATGTGTTATTAGTACTATATAAGAATTGTAACTTCAATCGTCTACGAAACCTGATCCAAAAGTTATAAAAATGCTAATCCAGTTCGACCAAATTCCTGAGAGCTTCAAAACAAGCCAAAGTTTAAAGAATTTTGATCACAGGAACCTGAAATAACCTTGACAGTTGAGAAATTTTACTGTGTTACATCATGAGTTAAAAGTTAACAAATCGTAAATTAATTTCTTTTTTCTCATATTCATTCAAAAAAAGGAAAGCTATCTGAATAAATTATCAGGATAATAATCAGATAAGCAATCAGGATTGGCAATCTTTTGTAATATCGAAGGTATAAAAAAGTGTAAAATGTAATACTATGAAACTATCACAATTTTTCAGATGATCCTATGCAATGTTAAAAAGCTTTTATTTACGAAACAACTCAGAGTGAGAAAAATCAGGTAATAGATTGAGATAGAATGCTATACAGAGAATAAAGCGTGATTCAAAAAAGTAATAATATGAGATGCCTTCATACTAAAGAGTTCTCTCATAAGGCATGATATGCTTTTTCTCTTAGATTATTACTTTGTCTTTCAAGCTCAATGGAAAGATGAAAAAAGTTATCAATCCAAGACATACTTTTTCAGTTATATACTAATGCTTCATGAACTTTATCAACTATGAAACCTTAGCGTATAAGTTCTTGTAGTTCTGTTTCTATTAATATAAGGCTTTTAGACTGCATTTTATTGGCTAATGATGAAGTTGCTAATTGTCTGGATTGATTATGTTTCTTATTCTTTTTACGAACCATACCCTTTTTGATATTAGAATAGTGAATTCAAAATTTCAAAGAAAAAAAAGAAATATATGATTTCGTTTAATTCAGTTAATGTGAGTATCCTAGACAGTTACTGGAAAGATGGTGGCTGACTGAGGTACAGGATTATCAAAATATATATCATAGATCTTGTGAATTTTCATGAGTATTTTATCAAAATTGTTATCATTTACTTGGAGGTCACTTTATGACCGCTTTTTAGGCTTAGTTGATGTTTTATTCTCTAATTTCACTATTCTTACCATTTCTACACACATGAGTATTTCATGAAGTTCGTGATCATACTAATCATTAGAGTCAGAGTTATCAGATTTGAAATATAAATCAGAATCAGATTTATTGGCATCAGACTTAGATTCATTGTTTGACTTAAAATAATCTGTAACATCTGATGCTTCACTAAAATTATCATCTGAATCATAAGCTGAAGTAGTAGCTACAGTTTCAGAGATTTTGTTCATATGACTAGTGATTATTTTCAATTTGACTTATTCTATAATATAATCAATTTGAGAATTAGTAAGCCTTGAAATTTTGTCAGCGCTACAGTAATCTGTTGAACTATATATCCCAGTATACCTTTAATCTTTTTCAGAGTTACAAGTCATATCTATATCCAAATAATTTATTGATTTTTTTTGCTTTACAGATCATTACTTATAAATATCTAATCAAAACATCTGTAAGGTATGGTTTTATTTCATTATAGATCTGTTTTTTTGCAATTAGATCTGTAAGTTTCTTATCATTAGACTTAAGCTTCACAACTTTATCTTCGAATTTTTCAGTGAATAAACACCATAATGTAATCTCTGATCACTTTGCTATGATTGTTTTATTTCTTGCAACATTCGCCTGGCAGAATGAATTAACAAGTTTTTTGATGCTTAATGATCTGAGAACTATAGTTTTGGAAGAAGAAAACTTTATAGTCTGGAGTGGATCATCAGATGAGAGTAGTTCATTCAACAAATCCTGTACAAATTCAGTTATTATACTTGAGGAAGCCTAAACATTCCTACTATTCTTGATCAGTAGAATATGCCCTGGTAAGCTATCAGAAGAATTTTCTTTCTCTAATCTTTTTGTCTTTACATTTCTTTCTATCTCCAAGCAGACACTGGGAGGAATATTGGCAATTTCTTTCTCCAGTTTCTTATGTGATAATTTTGAATTTTCAGAAAATCTCTTAACATTGTTAAGGGTTTTTATATCATATAATAAGTTTGGATTTATTACAGAGGGAGTAATATCTTTCTGATCATGATCATGATCTTGATCTTAATCGAGAGGCGCTATGTATAAGATATCTATAATTACAACTATTATGCGAATTAAATCTGAAAAAGTAGAACTATTACTTCCATCAATGATTCAACCCTTAACCCATCCGACACCTCAATATTGTTAACAGTTTCTGATATATAAGAAGTAACTGTAGTGTTGTCCTAGTTAGCTGATTTATACTGGAGTTTCTTCTTCCTATTGTATCGCCTAATATTTTCACCAATACTTTTCTTATTTACATCAATTAAGAATGTGTTCATCTCCTTATTCTCTAATGATTTTTCAGGATAAACTACACCTGAATTGAAGTTAAATATACTGTTATTAGGAGTACTATCATTTTGAAACTGCTTCTGTTCCAATTCTGTAACTAGAGCTCCAAATCAGATCAGGTTGACCTGATCTGATCTGACCTGATCTGACAAAATTCAGGTCAACCAATCATCATTCTTAAACAATATTTTATCGTTCAATTAGAATGATTCGTTATTATTCTTGAATGATAGTTTTATCGTTCAATTAGAATGATTAGTTATCATTTTTGAATAATGATTTTATTATTTTTGAACGATGATTTTATTATTTTGAACGATGGTTTTATCATTCAATTAGAATAATTCGTTATCATTCTTGAATGATAGTTTTATCTTTCAATTAAAATGATTCATTATCATTCTTGAATGATGATTTTATCTTTCAAGAATGATAGTTTTATTATACAATTAGAATGGTTCAATTAGAACAATTCGTTATCATTCTTGAACGATGATTTTATCATTCTTAAACGATAGTTTTATCATTCTTGAATGATGGTTTTATCATTCTTGAAAGATAATTTTATCGTTCAAAAATGATGGTTTTATTATACAATTAGAATAATTCGTTATCATTTGAAAATGATGATTTTATCATTCTTAAACAATTCGTTATCATTCGAGAATGATGATTTATCATTCTTGAATGATAATTTTATTGTTCAATTAGAATGATTTGTTATCATTCTTGAACGATGATTTTATCATTTAAAAATAATGTTTTATAATTCGATTAGGTCAGATCAGGTCAGGTCAAATAAAAATTTAAATTAGGTCAGAATTTTATTTGACCTAACCTAATTCTTTCAGTTCAGATAAATTGACTAATCTGACCTGAACTGACCTGTTTGAAGCTTTATCCATAACTCTATCAGTAGTATTTTTTTCTAGATCCTCAATTTTAGCATCATGTTTACTATTCTCTTCTATCA